AGGGGTCGTGGGTTGACGTGAATTCTTTGTCTCTGCAGTTCTTAAAGAACAAGATGGGAAAGACTGAGAAGGCTGCCGTCCCCTACAGCCAGCCTGTTCACAGTTTACATCTGTGTGAACAACCAAAGATTAACAGACAGAAGAGTAAATGTAATGTGCCACTGACAAAGATCACCTCGGCAAAAAAGATAGAGAACTTTTGGCAAGATTCTGTATCGCCAGAAATAATTCAGAAGCAGGAAAAAAAGCCACTTAAAAACACAGAGAACTTCAGAAATGCCAAGTCCAAGAAACCTATCACCCTAACTGAAGCGAGCCAAAAAGAAAATTACGCTGGGGCAAAATTTAGTGACCCACCATCTCCCAGTGTCCTTCCAAAGCCTCCCAGCCACTGGGTGGGTGGCACAGCTGAACCGTCTGACCAAAACAGGGAGTTGATGGCAGTCCATTTGAAAACTCTCCTAAAAGTTCAAGCGTAGTTTCCGACGTCTCTTGACAAAGAAAACTCCATCCAGGAAACTTAAACATGCCTTGTTGCAACAAAAATTGCAAAAGACTGTCAAGTCTTATAATCACATTAAAAAAATCCTTGTATTATATTTTTTATGGTTGTGTAAATAGTGTACATCATGTATTATGTGTATATTCTTGTTCATACTTTGAGAGGTACATTTTAGTTTTGTTATGAAAGGATGTATTTTGCACTGCCTGAATGGTAGATGTCTTGTATATGAAATATGGACAATTTTAAGTGTGTGCTTGACACATGAAGACTTGACTTGATTTGCACAAGGTAATGAAAATTTTGGAAGGAGAGTACAGCTTTCTGCTTTTAAGGTTCCAGATCAAATGTGAATGTTTTATTCATGCACTACTGACAATAGTTTTACATTCTGTGTCCCAACCAAGTATAAACATGAATTTTCATGCAAATGTGAAGTTTTGCTCTCTACTCTGGAAACAGTATCTGGAATTCCTGTTCATCTGTCTGTTTTTAAAATTAACTGGAATTTGAGTAAAATTCCAACCCATCAATTTGAGCACTGCTGATTTATTTAAAGAAAAAAAAAAAACAGGGAAAAAAAAAAAAGAGCAGAGCTTTCTGCCAAAAATCCAATTGGTCACTAAAAAATTAAATAAAACAATTTGGCCTCCCCTTAAGCATGTCTCTGTTTTTCTTTTGTGTGTGTGTCTGCTAATTCCAGTATGTGAACTTAAATTACTTGATTGCCTTCTAGTGTATCAGTAGGAATATTTTGTCCTCCTCATACTTTAATTATCCAAATAATTAAGAGATCTGGTAGCTCGTTAAGACTTCCTTGTGTTTTTAAAAAATGTGTCCTTTGTGATAGTCATTTTAGGTTCCTTACCATTTTGTTCCTTGAAAATTCAGATTTCAAGAAAGTTGGGCAATTGCACATTCAACTTCATGCTGCAATGCCCCTTAAAGTGTTTTCATAGTAAGTAGTTACTAAATGAGTTGATAATGAAAAGTAGCAATGAGAGAAGGGTATGGATGGGGCAAGTTAAACTTCGTATTTTTCCCCAGATTTGTCTCTTGCTGATAGCTGTGCTGGAAATGATATTCCTCTGATCTAAGATTCTTAAGGAATTGGACTGTAGGTTAGTCTGACAGGCATGTTAAGGAGGTAACATAGATTTGCAGTTATTTTATTAATCTAGTATTTAAATAAGATCAATAAAGCAGGACATATGTGAAGATTGCATAAGATTGAAGAGCGTTTTTAAGGTTTTGGATCCACTGGTGAAAAAAAGCATTCTGCGAGCACTAGTGCACTGTGAGGGATATGTAGGAAGGAAATGCTAGCAGCAGGGCCCCAGCTGAGGTGGTTCCTTAGCATGAACGGTGTTTTCTGGGATTCAGAACACGCAGTGCTGACTCCGTCCGTGCCACGTGCACTACTGCTTCCGAAATACATCATCGCTTTGTTCCATGCGCATGAATTGGCAGTATTCATTAACATTGCCCTGAAATGAGGTTGGTCAAAAAGGGAGAACTTACTCGCTTGCTTTGTAGAAATCAATTACATAGTTGCAGAATTTTTCATTATAATGCTATTACGCTAATTAACTATATATATATTCTAAACAAGGAGTTCATACAAAATTTTTGGTCCATGCCAAAGGCTTCCGGGTTCACTGTCTTGCAAAATAGACCTGTATTACTTGATTAATGAGGGTACACGCTTGAGGTAAATGTATGGTTTCAGCAGCCCAGTTTGCTGCCTAATCTAAATACTTGGTAATTTAGCGTGTCCTAGCTTGTTGTGTAAAAATGAACAAAAATCCTCCTTTCTAATTTTTTAATAAATTGGGTAAAGAAGAATTCTAGTAGATCTCACTAAGGATGACTCAAGTGGACTGTAAGTCCCAGTTTACTCTTTTAGTGTATGCTATATCAATCTGCTGTTGTGCCTTTTTTTTTTTTCCTCTTTTCATTTGCCTGAATGTCATCAAGCGCAAAGGAAAATGGCTTTAGCAATTCACCACAGCTTTAGGCAATGGTTAATTTTGTCAGCTGAACTCGTGATTGTCTTGAATCTTCGTAACTAGCTTGACAAGAGCTAGTTTCCATCAGGCATGTAGGTTGGCATTATTTGAAAGGAGGTAGCCTTTTTTTCCCTATTATCTGTGTTACCATCAGCCTCTTTTCTTCCCTGCCGCTTGGAGCTGACATCAAATTACGTCGTTTGAACGGTAACTCTGATCCTACATGAAACATTACCAATGTAACGTACCTCTCTGTTTTTGCACTGATTTGCCAACGCATCCCTGGGGACTACAAAATTCATTAAATGTAAGTGCTGATAGTTCTCAGCTCCTCAGCTGATTCTTTTAACGCTCTTGGATGAGACTTGTTAAGTCTTGCAAATTTAAGACTTGCCATACCTTGTTGGACCATAGAGGTTTTCAGGGTAAGATAACAACGTTTCATCTGGTCTTTTGAAATAGTGTGGGGGGGGGGGGGGAAATAGCTTGCTTAGCTTGCTTCTGCGTGAGTATTGCTGGTTGTGTTGTGATCTGGCAGAAGTGTTGGGGCACTTCATGTTTCTGTCTTCTTAAGGTCTTTGGGTTGAGTCCCTTCCTGGCCAATGGACTGGATTAGAAAACGAGGCCTGCGTGCAATATACACTTCAACAAGATCGCCTGAAAAATGAGGACATCATCATCTCTTAGGACCATGTTCTTCATTTAATTTGTCCCTTTCCCACGTTTTTTCTTTTACCTTCCTGAAGTATTTTCTCACAGGGATTTTCACTTTCAAGGTTGCCTTCACTTTGACAGATTTCTCATCCCAGTTCCCTGAAGGCGAGGCATCGTATTTGAGTTTAGAGCCAGTAAACAAAAGAAAAACATTAGTGTCACATTTGGAGGACTTCTTTGCAATATAGCATAAAGTCTTTTGAAGTGAACAGCCTTTAAGGAAGAAACTGAACAAACTTAGTGGATCTGTTACCATCAGCTGGTCATCTGTCTGCTGTACAGGAATTAAATAAATTGCTTATTAAATCTTTTGAGTTCAGGCAGAGTAAGGAAGCCAAATGTACTGCATTTTGGTTGGATAATGAAAATCTTTTCTGTTTAAAATCATCTTCAGTGCAATGCTGTGCAGAACTGCAGGGGAATCAACTGTGCGAGTTAACTACCAGCTTACTTTTAAACAGTTAAATGTCATGTGGTGATAGTCCTGAAAAATTAGCTTTCACGGAGCGCAGAAGTATCTGTTGGTGGGTTTTCATGCATGGCTAAGTTTCAGCCCATTAGACAGCTTCATTAATAATGGCTGGCTTGGTGCTCTGCTGAAGCTGAAATGCTTCTGTCTCCTAATGCAACAGGAGATAGAAATCCCGTGTGCATTTGAACTCCATTGCACCAGTATCTCTTCAGAGATGACGCTAAATTCGTCAGCAGTCTGCATATGAGGCTGGAACTTTTTCCATAAATTGAGTTTTATTTCAGCTGATTAATATTTTATCCAAGTAATGTCTTTTTAAGCAGTTCTTGTAATTATTTTCAGAGGGTAGTTTTTAAGCTTTTGCATTATAAAGCATTTGATACCTGCCACACTTCGGGATTTTTTTCTGCTTTCCCCAGTTTTGAGATCAAATATGAAGCCTATAGACTATATGAAGCCTGATGATTATAGATTGTTTTTCATTGTAATTTTTGGAAATAAGTTAATCTTTATTTCTGCGTAGAAAGTCTTGACAACTTCCATCATGCAGTTAAACACATTCCTTATTTTTCTTCTACAACCCCTTGTACTCTTTGAATTTTGATTTCACAACACATCCTTTAATTTTTTTTTCGTAATATATGCCTGACTAACTGAAATATTTAAGAGGACTTACTTTCTGTTGTAATTTCTAAGAAGGTTTTATGTTATGAATAGGCTGGTTCTTACCCTAAAGAGGCTAGGAGGTAAGCAAGTAGAGATAAAGGCTGTAAAATGTTAACATTTACTGTGAAAAATTGAGGCTACCTTGTTGAACAGAAACCACATTTTTGATAGCAGGAAATGTTTAGTTGATGATTCAGTAGAAAAAGGTTACTGAAGGGAACATCCATCAATTAAGGAGAAATACATTATCCAGTGAAAGGACCTAACTACTCAAGTTGAGCAACAGAATGTTATCAGCAATGTAGAGGCTGCAAACTTTTTGTTTTGCATTGAGTGTAGAAGAATGTTACCAGAGGTAGGACAGGAATATCAAGAATTCAGCTGAATTTGAAAAAAAAAAATCCTCAAGAGTTAATTTGCACAGCAAACACATCCTAGCAGAGGTACTTCTTCCCCTATGTTGAAGTTAGCATTCCTCTCTAACTTTTTTCCCCACAAGGTGGTAAAATCTCATTTATTCAACTCCCAGAAAATAGGCCTGTAGATTTTACAGAGCCCCAAACTGTTGGAAGTGCTGCATTGGTACTTTTGCTTAACGTTAGTCTAGTGACAGTACTACAAGTTACACGCATTCAGGCTCGTATGTGGCAGATGCAGTCATTTAGTTCATAAACACTTGTCTTCAGTTTGAGAATTACACTGGTTATGTGTACTTACGCTGTAGGTTGCCACTGGTGAGCGAACTGGGGTGATTTCTGTAATTTATACCTGAAAGAGGAAGTATTTGGGGATCAAGGACTTTTCTTGTATTTATAGGACTTTGCTAAGTCTTTGGTTGTAGTTCAGTATATGGCTGTCCATATTTCAAGAAGTGGTGTAATCAGCATTGTCATTTTTCCATTCTTAAGGTCATGAAGCATACAGTTTTGAGGAGATGCTATTTCTATGAAAGATGTCATTTGCTCCTTTAATGAAGCAGTATGCTTTCATCAGGTAGGTATACGAACCTTAATTTGCAAATGTAAGTGCTGAAGGCAGTGGCCATCAAAATACAATTTACTTTGGTTTTTATTCCCTGAAACAAGACCTAGAGCTACATTCAATACCGAGTCAGGCCTTTCTCTTGTGTTCTCTCATCACCTGATTCTTGTGTTCTTTACTGCCTGGTGACATAGCTGCACGAGAAAGAATATGGTGTGCCCTTACTTAATATATAGCTTGAGATCTGTAATTTGCTTATATATATATATATCATGAAGCTTTGTAAGTTGCATTCCTAGCATCAGAATATTCAGAAATTGCTTGTCATATTTAGAATATTGATAGGTCATTGCAGGAATTAATGGAGTAGTAAGTTGATAGACCCTTGTCCAGATTTTAGACATTCTTTGCAAGCACTAAAGAAAGCGCTGATACATTTTTGTGCCCTGTACTAGGAGCGATAAGGAAAAAAACAGTGGACGAGACAGGTAGAAAAAAAACTGAAAAACAAGGTCAACTAAGAGATAAGAGAGAAGCAGCATGTTGCCATTAAATTATGTGGGAAGGAAAGATACTGCAAGAAAAAGTTACCTCCCAAAGTATCTGATGTTACAGCAAATTTAGGGAATTTTAATGACTAGATGAAATACAATTTGCTACCAGTTCTTGACTGGGACCATCTGGGGAAAGACAATATGAGCTGGCAAGTCTTAGTAATTGACTTTTTTCTGTCTGATCAGTACCTATCATTTGTTACTAGAAATTGCACCTTGGCACAGCATACTTAATGGCTAGCACTGCTTCGGTTATCATA